AGAGCTGGCAAGGCATAAAGCACGCTTCAAGTCATTGTATCATCTGCGCTTTTCACAAGACCCACGTACAGTACTAAAAAAATGTTTGCGACAGTTCGGTTTTAAAGAACTGTTGCTCAGACATTAAAGCATCAGCTCCCAATTTTGATCCCTTTCTTAAAAAATCTTTTGCATCTGTATACCCTCTAGGATTCAGTCCAGAAGCGATTTGCTGGCAGCCATTTTTAATCTCTTGATTAAAAGCAGAAAGCGTATTTCATAAAAACAGACCAAATCAGTTGCTTGATCCTCTTTTAGCACTGTAAAATATTAAAACAGAAAATACATGTTTGCACCTTCTAAACTGCATAGAAACATCAGCACTCGGCTGTTGTGGAGGAGTGTGTGAATATTTTGTCTCATGTGTCTTCTGAGAGGGGAGATTTGAAGGCTGAATGAAATCATGAATATATGTGGAGTGCCAAGCTTCCCATATGAAGACACAGAGCTATAGGGGCATTTAATCTGATATAGATGATCCAATGATTAGCATGAATGAGTTGCTGTGGACACAACAGCCTATTTATCTCATCTTCTATACCACTTAGTCCCGAACAGGGTTGCTGGAGCCAATCCCAGCCGGAATCAGGCGAAAGGCAGGCTACAGGTTGTCGGTCCATCACAGGGAGGGCCAACACGCAAATGAACACACACAATTTAGAGTCACCAATCAACCTAAGCCGCATGTCTTTGGACAGTGGGAGGAAGCCGGAGTACCCAGAGAGAACCCATGCAAGCACCAGGAGAACATGCAAATTCCACACAGAAAGGTCATGAACCTGGAACCTTCTCGCTGTGAGGCAATGGCACTGCCTACCACGCCACCGTGCTGCCCACCAGTCTATGTATATTTATGTCAGTCCAACTGAGCAAATGCACTGAGACACCTTGAGGTTTATGTTTGTTTGTTTGTGCAGCAGAATCATATTCCACGCAGCATGAACAATAACTGGCTAAATTGAATTCACTGTTAAAGATAAGTTCTTAAATAGTAAGATGGTAATGTTTCAATCACTTGACTGGGCTGGAGCCAATGGATGGATAGATGGATAGAGTCCATCCATCCCTTATCTATACCGTCTATCCTGAAGAGGGTTGTGGGGGGTTGGAGCCAATTGCAGCTGACAATGGGTGAGAGGCAGGGTGAACCCTGGACAGGTCACCAGTCTGTCACAGCGCTGTCACTTGGAGACAGACGACCACACACACTCACACTCACCCCTAAAGGCAATTTAAAGTCACCAGTAAACTTAAGCTGCATGTCTTTGGACTGTGGGAGGAAGCCACAGTACCTGGAGAGAACCCACACAGGCATAGGGAGAACATGCAGACTCCACACAGAAAGGCACTGTGTCGACTGGGGCTCAAACCCAGAACCTTCTTGCTGTGAGGCGACAACGCTCAGTAATAAATTAAAACTGATAAAGCATTACTAAATAACATTACAAGGAGCACCTCAGTGGAAAACTGAATCTTCTCTTTTGAAAACAAAAACAAACAAACAAAACAATATGTATGCCCAAAAGAATAATTTAATATTTCATAGTTTTTGATTTTCCACTGACCAGTCAGATTATGAAATCAAAACATTTAATTATAAAATCAAGCAGTAACCACCACCTTCAAATCTAAAACAAAGTCAGTTTCAATGTTCAGTCAGAAATCCTCCTCATCCCTGGCCTGCACACTACAGGTAACAGCATAACGTTGTTCAGATTGTGTCTTGGTGCTCCTGCTGGCTCAGCTGTAAGTCAGACATGTACAGTACACAGACACAGATGTTGTTTCTGAATGCTACAACAGATGATTACTGTTATTTCAGTTGGACATTTAGGTACAGTGTCACCATTGTTGGGTTTTAAAAGTGTAATAAATTGATCCATGGACCCTGAAGTTTGCATTGTGGGTAATGTATTTTTTGGTAATCAATAATTAAAGGATGTTTTTTGATATCCAGATTTGTCTGATGTGCTCCTGAATTAGCTGAGTCACTTAAAGGGTGATGACACCATCACATTCTGCTAGATGCCTCTTAACAGAAGATGGGGGAGCAACAAATGTAGGAGGTGTGATCCTGAGTCAGAGTTAACAGCCATGAGAAGCTGCTGTCGGACTCACCATTCTCTTGTTCCCTTATTTGTTCATTCCCTGCTTCTCGATCCTCGCACAACCTGGAAGTCATTCCAATTCGCCATTTTGAAGGATGTCCCAAAGCTCATATTCCTGTTCTGAGAAGTGAGGAGGCTGCCTGGAGAAACTGTGAGAGAGGACAGAGGAGAGCATCCTTTGTGGCAATCTCTTATGAAGCGACACACCCCATTATCAGAAATCAGTGTGTGATTAGATACTTTGAAGGAAAGGATGTCTCATGTCTCTGAAAATGTTTCCTTGATTCCCCCTTCCTTGCATTTTGTCCTTGCATCTTTTCTTCACATCTTATGTGGGAAAAACACAAGTGATGGAAACATGGCTGCAATTAAGGGAACTGGGACTTTCTCTGTCTTTGCTGTGGACACAGGCAGCCCGGTGGAACTCTGACTACAGTTATGCTTTGAGAGAGTCACTGTGTGGGTACCTGTGTTGCAGCTAAGCTAGCTGTGCTATACAAAAGACTCCCCAGTGTGTGTGTCTGTGGGGGAGTGTCAGCACATAGTTCTGCTGTTTATCATGATTAATGCTGCTGTTTATCAACTTTAAATATCTTGTTAAGCTGTGAGTCCAACAGAGTTTCGGTAGGCGGATGTGAAGTGTTTTCTGGCTCTGCTGTGGAGTAACTCTCATTCATACAGAGACACTTGATGGCTTCTATCAGGCTTGCTATTGCTATTGTTAGTAGACTGGGGAGTCTTGCATAATATGTCATGGTTAGAGAGGAGCTGGAGGATTCAGCTGAACTGAACCTTCAGCCAAGCAGACAGAAGCTGTTTTCATGAATAGACTATGAATTTACCTGTATCAATATCATACTATATGTCAACAAAACTCTATGTGACAATGGTTTAGGGTGTAGTTACTCTTTAATTTTGTCAAATGTTTGTATGCTCAGAGCCTCCTTTGCTGCTGGATGATCTCTCTTTATGACACTGAAGAAATGCCATCTTGAGCGTGAAGGCTGTTTCATTTCTAATCCACTTTAGTGGGATTGGCTCAGTCACAGGTCCCTCATGAGCTTGAGCTTTTTGTTCATGATATGCTGGAGGAGAATCTTTCCTCTCTGCTCCACCATGTGAATGAGAGGCCTGAGTCCATTGGCCCCACCTTGGCTGGTCCAGAATTCCCTGTCTGTGTAAAGGGAGTGCAGAAGAAGACTCTCCAGACAGCCTGACTGGAGCAGTGACACCGCTTTCTCTGGAAATCTGACAAGACAAACAGCATTAGATATGATGTATTGTAGTCTCACTGACTGGTTTTTAGTCTAGAGAAAACATACTAAGATTTAACAGTGGCTGAACCCCCTTCCCCCTACATTTTCCAACAACACAACAATTTTTGTAACTTTCTGAAACTAACTAATGCAGTGAACACACTCACTGTTTGCAGTGACTGGACAGGTCAAGCTCTCTTTGTTTTAAATCTCCACACAACAACCTTCTAGGTTTATGGGCTCACAGGGGTAAAGACACTGACTAAAATGCAGCATCCCCAGGACCCTTGTTGCATCTCATTTCCTGACAGTGGTGGAGTTATCTAGTAATATTCACCATGGAAAGTGTACCCAACAAAAGGCAGGAGTCTCCTGGAAAATGTACCACTACTAGAGGTGGATGTTATCGGTCTCACTTGTAATGATTAAACTTTGTTTTAGAGAAATCAAGTTTTCTTTGTCAGTTTTTTGGCTCTAAACACTGTACTTTAGTATATATGGGAAGAAGCCAGTCAGAGGCTCAGCCCAGTGCTGTAGAAAGTTTGGAACACATTTGGAACATTTTGGCATAACACTGGAAACAAATTGCAGCATAATTGCTGAACTCATTCAAATGTAATTTATTCATTCCTGCATCCAAACATGAAGAGATATAAACAGCTAAATATTCTGTTGGAGTTTTACTCCACATAATCTTTAGCTTCTGCCGATCATTAGTGTAGCACGTACCAGACTCTAAGCTCTGTTGACTGACTGCATGTTCTTTTCATGACTTAGACATTCTGCCTGCACAGTAAATGATTCCTTCCATCATGTGCAGAAAAAGTAAATGGCTCATCTTCAAGTCAACAGCAAGCAACATATCAAATCTAAACAAAAGTTTAAACTAGAACAAAGTTCATACTCAGTAAATGGACCCCAATAAACAATTAAAAGGAGTAACTCTTCAATGCCAATCAGTTTTCCATTGCCAACTATTCAGTCATGATAAAAAATACAAGACATTAACATTCTGGTTCCATTCAGTTTCAGAGGCTTAAGATGAATGAATGTCAGTTTCGGCTTTTTCCCATTAGGGATCGCCACAGCGAACCGTCACACTGACAATTCACATGACATTTGGCATTTGTTTTACACCGGATGCCCTTCTTGATGCAACCTGGACTCAAACCCGGGCCGCATCAGCAAGAGTACTGAAGCCTAGCTACTATTATATCAGGGACCCCAGTAATCCTAAGTGACAGACAAAAGGTAATTTCTATCAGGCCTCATGCATTCAACATGGAATAACAAGCCAAATGAATGACCACTAATCTAATCAGACAGATATTGTAACAAATCCATGACAAGCTTCCAGTGGAGGGTTCAGTGCTGCTGATTAGAAAGCTGCTGACCAGGGAAACACAGTATGTTGTTAGATGTGTTTTATTTTCTTCTGAATTCGTTCCTTAACACCAGTGTTTCTGCCTGCTGTGAGCCAAAATGAGTTTCTGAGCAGTGATGCAGGTGCCAGAAGGAAGCGAAATATGCCTCCAGTTTGTATCCTCCTGCCTTAAAACACTGATTTGTACTCACTCTTTAACACCTTCAACCAGCCTGAAGTTGAGGTTGCCAGTGGACTGTTGTGGTCTGCCGGCGTTGTCAATGAACACCAGCCTGGAGGGATCTGCCTTTCTCACCTGAACACACACAGAGGTGACACATGACCACTATTTTTTTTATATACACATGCTGTTATCTTTTTATTTAGTTTTACTGAACTCAATAGAAGAATAAGGAGAAGAATTAAATGGTTTAAATATTAAAAAAGGTTTATTGCCATTTTGTTTAGTGATTGAGGAAAAATGTCTGCATGAATTAATAAATCACACTCGCCATATATGTACACAAATTTTATGTGCTAAAATTAACACATTATCAGTAGTTCACATTGTAACATACAGTATCCTTAAGGCAAATAACAAAAAAAAACCAACAACTTTGTGTGCCTTGAATCAAAGTGGCTTGTTTAGTTAAGATTGTGCCATTTACAGTATGTTGTGCTGCCATAGCCACACTGTGGTAGATGTACAGTACATTGCTAGAACAACTTCTGTCGTAGTATACAGCCGTTTCTTAAAAAAGAGTGGTGGGGCAGAGGACAACTGTTGAGGACACTCATATGAAAGAATGAATTCAGTTGTTGTCACATCATTAGCTGCCAGCTTGCTGCTAACACACTACTGTATGTAGAGAGAGAGAGGAGGAGACAACACCCTGAAACTTCACTTCCTACTGCGATACTAGTGTGAAACTGAGTGTTTGTGGCAGACTGAAAATATTATTAGGCCATCACTTTCTGACAATGCATGGTTTAATGACCCACTTAGATTTTATGGAGTTTAGTTTTGATTTTAGACTGAGTCATGTTGATGTACTTAAGCTTTGTACATTAACGCTGCACAAATCAATGTTTTGTTTTTATGAACCATGGATCAGACACTGTGTAATGCTAAAACCATTGCTTCTAGTTATGAGCCTGCAGAGATTTATAGCCCACAGCATGTCACAGTAGGAAAAGCATGGTTATAAATAACAAACCTAATGATGGCTGGCTTTTCAGGGTCCTGGTACTGTTCATGCTGACTCACCTTGGTTTGAACATTAGACATGATCAACATGGAATAAGATGATAAGAATATTGTCACCTGTGACACAAATAACCATAAACAGTGAGGTTTCAGCAGGTAAGTGGTTCTGGAAGACCTTTAATTCAGAAAGTCAGAACGCACAGTGCAGTGCAACTTGCTACATATGGGGTTGCATAGCTGCAGACCACTCAGAGTGCCCATGTTGCTTGCCTGGGGAAGAGATGGCACCAGTATGCACTATAGGAACAAGGCAAGCGAGCAGAGGTAGTATGATGCTTTGGGCAATGCTCTGCTGGGAAACCTTGTTTCCTGCCATTCATGTGGATGTTACTTTGACACGTACCACCAACCTAAACACTGCTGCAGACTCCCCTTCATGGCAGTGGCCTCCCTTAGTAGGACAATGCACCCTACTACAAACAAGTCCAATCCATGAAGGCTCCACCATGCAACTTACAGGATTTAAAGGATCTGCTGCTGACATCTTGGTGCCAGATACCAGAGGACACCTTCAGACGTCTGTGGAGTCCATGACATAGTTTTCATTTCTTCACCAAACTAATAATGATTTGACACAGACAGAAAACAGTTATATTTAAAGCTTCCAAATTAAACAAGAATTTGGCAGGGGAAAAGTTTTCTTTTTTTTTTTTTTTTTTATTTTTTACAACAGAGCAATCAAAGTACTGATTAGTTAGTTTAACCTTTGGCTGAGAATAATAAGTTATTTTTGTATCCACTATTACTGCAAATAAAACATCCTAAAGTCAGTGTTTCAGGACATAACATAAATATTAAAAAAAGGAAGACTATCTAGGTTTACCCTCTGTGAAGCTGAAATGATAGTCCTGTTTGTGTTACATACCAGGATGTGAACCAGCAGCAGGTCCTTGGGGTTGCCACACTTGGCATGCAGCCGGTTCTCTACACAGACTTCTGTTGGCTCAGGTGTGAAACCACAGCAGTACCTGTCCAGACGGTCATTCACCTGTACCGATTAACAAAAAACATATTCAAAGTAATAAGCTTTGACATTTTGATGCAAACTTGGTAGTTCCTGCTTTTGAAAGTACTGACACACTGACAAAATCCTCGAAGAGGAACTGATGCAAAATCCCACTTCTGTGTCCCCGGTTTTCCCTCTGAGGCTGCACTATAATGCTCGTCTGGGTGCATGATAACCAATTTTACCATAACATATTATTTGTCTGTTTGATATAAATGTGGGGAATACTATTTTTGTACAGTGGCTGGTTGGCTCACTCCATTTCTCAAACCAAACCTACACCCCTGTAGTGACAGTGTGAAGTGGAAAAAAGCAAAACCACTAACTGAGTTTCAGCTTCTGATTAGTCTACACTGATTCTTCTGTAAAGTTTGTTGAAACAAGTAGCCAGGTATAGCTTCAGTTATAGACTGAAGTTTAAAACCAAGACACAAAGACTTACTGTACATGCCATGAACACAAAACTAGTTGGTAGGGTGGGGGACGTCTCAGGACATGCCTGTGGTTTGAAGAAATTCCAGCTTGCATGACATCTGCTCAAGAGGTTTGTAATACTGCTGACATACTGCACCAATCTAATGTCTGACTACATATCGTTTAATATTACACTGTGTGTGTGTATTCACTTTGAACTGCTATCACAGACTGGACACACACTGTGGCACTTTGGTGTTTGTGTAGTTAATCGTTAAACTGGTTATTTTAAAGGTTAATTTCTGTTTAATGTGATGCCAAAACCACAGAGTTTTAAAGGAAATTTCTGGTTAATTGGGTTTTAATTTTAGTTTTAACCATCACTCCCACTGACATGACTTTTTATGTACTTGTCAATGTCTGAGTACAATGGAAAGATCAAATTATAGACAATAGATAAACATTATATTCTAACAAAAACATGTACAGCAGATAAGCATTTTTAGCAGTAGGGATCAAACAACAGAAGAAACTTTGGGCTACAAGCAATGATTTTCATTATGAATTAATCTGCAGATTTTTTGATTAATTGATTCATTCACAAAGTGTGAGAAAATACTCAGTCCAGCTTCTCGAAGGCCAGGGTGTTTTGTCAGACCAACAACTACAGCCCATTATTGAGTGAATTGGTGTAGAGAACTGAGAAAAACAGCAACTATTGTCATTTGACAAGTCAGAATCGGCAAACGTTTAGCATTTGCTTAAAAAAGACTCACAACAATAACTGATTAATAGCATAATTGCTGGTTATTTTTCTGCTGATCAATAAATTAATCATCATTTCAGGTCTATACCTTGGATCATCACAAAAAAGATGATGACATCAGAGATTACAAATGACAGCACCATAGGAATAACATACCATACATATACAAAACTAAGTCTGGTCAATGACTGAATTTGTTTGTCTTGACCTGGTATAGCCAAGGACAAAGATTAATGTGCAACTTTCAAAACAGTAACTTCTTCCCACCTGAGTGTAACATTTTTCTTTTGTTTAATAAATAAGTTTGCCTACCTCAAATATGATTAAGGCATCAAATTTAAATCATCTGACTGCTCATGTTTCTGGCTTCTTATAAGCAAAGTCACTGCATTCCCACATGTCAAGTAGTTAACTTGATGAGTACACATCATGACCAACACTATGAAAATAAGACCTCAGTTGTTACATGCAGAAATAATCTGCTTAAAGCCCTTAAAGAGCCAATGCCATGCTTTTCTTTGTTTTCTGACTTATCTACAATGTTACAGAAGTTGTGAATTATCATCTTAGACATGACCTAAAGCTCCAAAAAATGAAGTGAACATATGTTCTAGTATTTCTATGCAGAAGCAGCTCAGTTTACACGTCTCCCAGAGTCTCACTCGCAAGACTTTTTTCTACCAATATAAAGTATTACATGATAGTTTATAGATTTCCTTAAATGGCCATCATCTCCAGGCGTGTTCATGTAAGCTTGTCAGACTTCCACCAGTGCCCCCACCATACTAGCAAAACATTATATTTCCTTGTTTGTTATGTGTATTTTCAATAAAGCTTATTAAAAAAACACATCCACAGGTGCCATTGTAAAAGCAAAATTTTTTGACTGCCCACAGTTTTGTGGATATGATTTCGCTCCTCCTGCTGCACTGTGACCAGAGGATGTGGAGAAAAATACAGGGCCTGAGGTTACTGCATGTCAGGAATGTTCCTGTACAGGGTCTCACTCTTTTACCTGACTGGGTCTAAACTTCGAGCAGCTGACCTGTGAAGCAACCTGAGGCGGTGAATGATCAGCTCATCAATGTTGGATTCCCCCGGAGCACAGTACCTGTTTGTTTTGACTGCTTGAGGCCAGTGTGTCTGCCACATGTGGTGTATTGCCAGTTAACAAGTGGATTAACGACCCATGATGTTACTGTCGGTGCTACGCTACCTGTTGGAATTAATTTCACTACTTTTGGACTGTATGTGGTCATGGAAAGAGGCAGCAACTCCTGGTTGGATTTACCGACCTTGGAACTACTTGAAAGGGAGTGATGTTTCCACTACTCAATGAGACTTAAAAGTAAATTTAATAAAACACAAGTTGCATGTCTGTTAATGTCTTATTTCTGTAATGTTAGAAAGAACTGCTGTAAGGCTGGAGAGGTTCCCACCTGGACAATAGGCGTCGGTTGACAGGGGAGGCTTCAAAGACAGGTAACGACACTCACCGATACTGGGCTATAACAACTCAGTCGTTAAGGGACTTTGTTGGCCTTCGAAGGACTGAAACACCACCAAGGCAGATAAATATCTCCGGCTCAACGCCAATCAGGCGGAACTGATGAAGTCTCTTGGATGAGAGGTGAAATGTCTTCAACCTAGAAACCTAGTCCAGTTGATTTTTTCTAAGTTTATTTTTTCAGATAAAAAAAGTTAACTTTTTCCAAGATTAATTTTCCTTAGTTTTCACTGTATTGTAGATACAATGTCTTGACTTATTAAAGCTAAGCAGTAGTTTCTATAGTTTAAATGGATGCTTTAAATTCCTGCTAAGTTCAAACCCACATGCTAAAACTGTTAGCTATGTAGTGACTGCTTGGGGTGGAGATGGTTGAAGCCCAGTGGCCAATAGATTCTGACACCTGAGATATCAAGATGGCGCCAACGTTGATGGCAGCCTTGGTTACTTGTGCTCTTTGTTAGTTCTTTTTCTTTGTTTTCTCGGTCTTTTGCAACCCATCCTGGATTACTTTTACCAGAGAAGAACTGTTAACTCACACCAAACAACGTTTCTCTGATTTTTGTGTACTGTATGGACATTCTGATCGGAGGCGCAGCTGCCATCTACAGGACCTGGAAAAAATGCCGACGTGGCAAGCCTGCAGATGCCTTGGTGAGGCTACGCCAGAGAGGGACACGGACTCCACTCCCGTCTATCCACCTAGGAAATATCCGCTCCCTGGTCAACAAGATGGATGAAATCCTTTTTGTCAGTAGGACTAACTTTGCACACTTCTGCTGCTTTATGATTCATGGACACATGGGTCAGCAGCTCCATCGAAGGTCAGCGCAATCTAAGTACTAGGCTACCAGGTGTACAGAATGGATCGCATAACGGAGCTGTCTGGGAAAACAAGAGGAGGGGGAATCTGTCTCTACATAAATAAATGTTGGTGCACAGGTGTCACGGTGCTACAGGACATGTAACACAGGCTTAGAGACTCTTTTTATCAATTGCAAACCTTTTTATTCTCCCCAAGAAATTTCAAGCTTCATCCTGGTTGCTGTCTATTTAAAACCACAGGCCCATGCTAAGAAGATGCTAGCCTGCCCTCCATGGAGGACCTGTACACCTCATGGGTCAGATGGGGGGCAGAGAAGATTTCTGCAGACCCTTCACACCCTGCACACAATCTGTTTGAACTCCTCCTCTCTGGACAGTGTCACAGGTCACTGTACACCAAGACAAGCATGCACAAGGACAGTTTCTTCCCCCAGGCTGTCACTCTGATGAACACTTGACCCACGACAGTATGACTGGACAATAACCCTCAGTGCAATACCTGTAAATATACATTGTACAAATTATACAGATCCATACAGGTCTCTGTTTTAAGTACTTTTATTCCTATTGATCTCATTTCAGTGAACATTCCTTTGTCTGTCTGCATTGTTTACTGTTTACTTTCTCCTTGCTGTTGCCTTGCATGGGGATATGTACATGCACATTGAGAGCCACTGTACCAGAGTCAAATTCCTCATGTGACTGACACACCTGGCCAATAAAGCTGATTCTTTTGATTCTCTGGTGATGTGAATTTTTGCATTGTGTGCAGGAACACTGCAAACCCAAGGTCAAAAGAAGAATGGGAGGAAGTACTTTGTCAGTTGAGGGCCCACAACCGCAGGGGGCAGTGCTCTGTCACATATGTGACAATGAACCTTTATGTTACACGTGGACATTCTGAAATACAGACACCTCCTCACACACATCATTGTAATTGCCACTTTGCAGGTCTTGACACTGGCTTACATTAATTTCCTAGAGACTTACCCTAACCCTTCCCCCAACCACTACACGCCTAACCCCAAGCCTAACCTAAAGTGTTTTTATTCCTATGAAACTGTTCACTTTATTCAAAACTGATCATTCTTTATTATTCAATACAATTTTTGCATAAATTGTATGTGTGGATGTGATAGTGTGGATGTTATTTTAGCAAATATGTCTTATTGTGAGATGCTTCCCCAGCCTGTGTTCCAACTCACCCCAGTAATGGTTCTAGGTTGTAACAAGAGAACTCTTTGCATTTGGCATTAACTCATATAATCTGTGATTGTGTAGTTGTCATCCAAGTGAGTCTTATTTGTAGTAGACAAATATGGGTACCATGTTTCAAGGTCTGAAGGATCTAGCACGAACAGCCACTGAATTAGTGCTGCTTAAACAAGAGGTGTTACAATCATCCCTGGTCTCCCCATTTATGAGTTTTGTGCCTATTGCTGCACTTGTGTAATGCTGTGTCCTCAAGTC